CACCGATGGGATAGGGCACGCTGGAACAGTTTGCATCTCACTCTGCTCGTAAGGGGCTTGTATCGGGGTTTCGAGGCCGCATTAGCCCAGTGACGATCCGCTGTGTGCCTGCGAGTTTCACTGGTTTCAGGTTCAGACCAGTGATGACTTACTGGCACGTGATCCAAAGCAAGAGTCTTCTGGCCACCGGCACCACAAATTCGACGTGGGATACGGAAATCCAGCTGTGCTCTGCCATCAGCAACTCAACAGTTTCCGATTTTGTCTCACTACTCTACGGATGATACATACGGCAGACTTGACTCCAGCTGGCCCTATTGTATTGGATCTACAGTGACAGACAACAGGAGCCAGAAACTTTTTGTTCAAGTAGAGCCAGCAGATGTGACACTGAATAAACACAGACAGTCAATCTGCTGAGTAAGAAGGTATCGTTCATATAAATAACATACATCTAATCCTGCTTCCATTTTAAACCCAAATATGGGAATGCAAGATGCTCAGCACTCTGCAGATTTGTGCTTTGAACAATGAGATAAAGCAAAAGCAGATAACACGCAGCCCCTCTGAGCTCAGTTTAATTCTTATTTCACTTTTGCTTTGAATTATTATCAGATCCACAGCTTTCTCCATGAAGAGCTTCCCACAGAGCGTTAACAGTCTGTCCAGGCTAATGTCAGATGGGATAAGTTCGCCTTATCAAAATATTTGCTGGTCCCTACTGCTTCTCCCAATGGACCTTAATTACAGAGTAATTAAAAGTATTATTCCAATCATTTTAACCTCACACATTTTGAAAATAGGCATTACACCCACTGAAGGGTTTCTTATGGTCTCAGCAACAGGACTTGTTGGGCTTGACCTCTGAAATGACACATTTCCTGCTTATTGGAAAAGTTTGCAAATTTGCAGCTGCCAAAAGGTTTATTTCATTAGAAAGCCAGTAATTATATGAATTAGCACACAAGAAAACCTCCTCTTTAGAGGTTACATGCAATATTGACACAAGGTCGGTGCCTTGTTTCAGTATCACATGCACTCAGAAAGCAAGTAAAATTGGTAGGTAAGTTTGATACAGATAATTATTCTACCAGAACCCACTAAAGATAAAACCGGAGCAACTGGCTTCCAACTGCCCCTGCCAGGTGCCTCGCACAAGCACACGCTTTCTTTTTGAGAGTTCACAGACTGCAAAGTACGGCTACAACATAATCCAGTACTCAGTATGCATCCCTTGAGGATTAATGCTTAAGAACCTCTAAAAGACAAGGAAGTTTTTAATTGTGTTAAGAATTTGCTTTATTGAAAAAATAAATGAGTAAGAGAGGACTGTCACTGAGACTAATTATACTTGCTATCACTGTGCTTGGTTTCCCCCCACTCAGAGGGATCACTTCATCCTTCCTCAAAACACAGCCACCGGTAGGACGCAATGATGTAACACACAGGAATTAAAAAAAGGATGTAGAAAAAAAAAATTATTACGTTTCCCAGCATTTACCATGGGATTAACCTCCATTCTCATTAGAGATTCATTTATCTACTTTTTTTTTCCGTTTGCTAGAGAGCTCCTCCAAGACAAACAGCCATTTATTTGTTCCCCGAGAACCCCGGGCCTGAAAGATGCAGCCATCTGTCAGCGGGAAGGAGCTCTCCGCAAACGGCTGCTTTCTCATCAAACGCTGCCTAGATCTTAATTTGCCACCTAAATTATCAAATGAAACCAAACAGCCTTTAGTTACGCGTATATACAAAGTATTTCAAAGCGCAAGATCAGACACAGAGCACAGCAAGTAGGTCAATCAACAAAGCAGCTTTTGTGCTCTGAGAAGTGCTTCCCGTGGTCCCAGGTGTTGGTATCTGTTTTGCCGAGAGACTTCTCTAGGCAAAGAGAGCTCACGTAGACTTCACGAAACACATGGCAGAAGGCCTACTGAAGCACCACTACCATATAATTCAAACTCCCAAAGAAAATGGACGGAGGGCATTTCCTTCCTTGGACAGCCACCAAGCCATTCCTGGAGACCATGAAGTTCAGACCTATGCTTATTAGACCCCATAGAAGGACACGAAACCTCCCTCGTTTGCTGAGGATCAGTCTGGGGTCCAGAATTGCTTGAGGCACTCAGATCTTGACAGCCGTCTCCAGGATAAAAACGGGCCACTCAGATTTTGCTCTTTTTTCCCTAGGTCTCACCTTCTTAGAACCACCTCGTCAAAAGGTGTCTGGAACAATTAAGTTACACCAGCTAACCACTCTGTACCTCTAACCTTACCAACCTCTTCAAAAAAAACTTCTAACAATTTGAAAAGGGGACAATGGGAAGGTAGAAAAGCATGCGGCTGAGCCGCAGGAGGGATCACCTCAAAGTTCAGAGCTGGTACCCAACTCACAGGCAGCTTACTCGAGTGTCTAGACACCCTCTATATTCAATGGAGCATGACAAGCAAGAAAATTGCCCTCAAGGGCAGAAGAGATTCAGCCCTTAAAAAAGTAAGAAATTCACAGAGGAGGGAAAAAGTGAGCCCTTCAGGAACCTAAAATACCTGTTCTGGAACCAGAACTGCTCATTGCTGGAGGTAACAAAATTACAGGCAGACAGAATTACAGGTTTTGGGCACACAGTGAAACCAGACTGAGGTATAGTGCTCAATTTAAATTGTTTCATTATACTACCATAACCACAGTGTGAAAGTGCTTACCCCATCCCAAATGCAAACACAGTGCGTTCTCCTTAAACCTGTTTTGTAACTGCAGAAAGTAGAATCACTAACTCAGTCAAGTTCACTCATATCCCCCCACTTTGGAGATACACAAGGAGTAGGTTTGGTCTTGCATTACGCACAGTGGGTTACCCAGCTTAAAAAAAAAAAATAAACTACATACATACACACGCTACACACTTAAATGGAGATTCGCGAAAGGTGAGGATTATTATTAGAACATGGAAACATTCCCAAAGGAAGAGAAATTTTAGCTAAACAGAACTGGATGGATGATCTCCACCCAACAGAATTTTCCTCCAAAAAGAGGAAAACAAGCTGGGGCATAACAAAATCCACCAAAAAGATGAGCAGAGTCACCTGTTTCTTCTGTCCTACCAGAAGAAGTTCCCTTCCAAGTGACCTCAACTCAGGACCTCCTGGTGCAGCTGCCTGGAGCCCAGGACCCATGTTCATCCTCAAATATCCCGAGCACACCCTGTCCCAGACATCATGCCCCAGAGCAGCAGGCTGGAAAGCACACACTTAGGGAAACCTACCAGATACCAACTCTGCAAAGCTTTCTAGTGCAAAGTAGCCTGATGAGAGAGGGGAGTTTCAATGTCTGTCTGGATCCGTATATTTCTGAGCCTCAGTTTCCCCACTGTCTTTAGGTGTTTAATTAGCATTCTCAGCGCATGACAAAAATGGCCAAAGACAGTCTCCCTTCTCCAGCATCCCATTCCCTTTTGCATGCGAAGTATCCTCTCCTTCCCTCCAAAAATTATCATTAGGTAGTGAAGGCCCTTTGCATCCATTTATGAATTTCAGAATCAAAGTTATGAAAATACATAAAGAGAGCTCACAAACTACATACAACGGCCTCTGCATCACCACAGACGCACACTGGAGGATTCCCCACGCTGTCAAACCCACTCCTTCAATACACACTGCGTTGCACTTAACACTAAATCTCTGCTAAAGTAAGAGCAGCACCAAGCCTTTAACGTGTAGTATTGTTTTTATTCTGGCATACATGCTTACATCCTCTCTAAATAGCAGCTCTAGCATCTACAAAGTGCACTGCATCCTCAGGAAATATTGTGATTTTCATTCCCTTTTATCGTGACACGATGACGGCTAACAGTCTCTTTGGAACTGCGACGTTCTTCCGCTAGCTGGTTACCTCTCCAGGCTGAGCTCCATATCAAGGTTGGTGGCTTTTTAAAATTGATCTCAGACTTGATCTGAACCCCTGCTTTTACAAGGGAAAGTATAATCTTCAATGTGATGGTGTAAGAACAGCTGCTCTATTGTCTGTGGTTCTCCTGGGCACACATCCAAAAGGTACTCAAAATGAATGTCACGACACATCTTAGCCTTATGTTTTTTGAAAAAAGCTGGTTGATTTAGAAGGAAAAGATGATTTAAAGTTGCATAGGGTCTTTTTTCCCCCCGCCATCACAGTGTGTAAGGAACTGGACTCAGTTCACCAGTAGCTACAGCGAGCAGTTCAGCTCCCTGTGGTTTCAGAATTGTTTGCTCATGTATTTTCATCTTACGCTACTCCACCTCAAAAAAAAAAAAAATTAAAAAGAGAAAAGGGGGAAAAAAAAAAAAAAAAAAAGGAAGAGGCAGCTGCCCTTCACTGAAAGCAAAATCCTAAGCTTTCTGGCCAACAGGCAGAATTTAAGATCACCAGTAGAAATATTTCTCCTAAAGGATTCCCCACAACTATTAGCTCAATATTCTATGAAAGCAGGGAAATGCCGTAATGCTGGACAACGCTAAATGAAACATAAATGGGCCAGAAACCCAAAAGCCTGCTACAAACAGGGTAATAACTAAGGAAAAACTACAACACCTTGCTCAGAAAAGGTATTCTTGAGTGCAGTCACTGAAAAAGTGCGGTGCGAGCCCACCCAGCTCACACTGCAGCTCATGTCCTCCACAAAGCATTAATATTTGCTCTCTCACCTACTCACCTGCATTTTTTTTCTTGCAGGACCTTTCCTTCTGAGAAGGAGGCATCACTGGCAAGTTTGAAACCAGTTCAGGGTCTCACCAGTTACTAGAGGGAGATGGGAGACTGACAGGTGTGGATTCACTGATGTCTAATAAAGAGCAAGCTTCTGCTACAGATTTAACAGAGCTCAGTTGGGCAATCAATCAACTGTGAGACACAAATCCGCTGGAAACCTGGCTTCGTTACTTCTGCTGTTCACAGAAGAAATTGTTTTTAATCCAAACCTGTCTAATAAACAGTACTTTCAGAAAACAAGGCGCGTATACATTACCTCAGTAACAAAGAGAGTGCGCGGATCAATGATGTCCAAGAAGTGCCTGAATCTGCCATAAAATGAAGTCTGGAAGACAGGAAAAAAACCAAAATGTGTTCAGTTAGAAATTGCCTTTCACCTGCTGCAGAGAAAGGTTCTATTTCCTCTGCAGAACTAAGTAGCAACTAAAAAGAAATAATATAGAAGCTATCCACCGGTAATTTGTGATAGAAAGTCTGAAAGGAAAAGGTGAGGACTTGGACCCTGCTAATAGCAGCGTTGCTATGAACAGGATACCAATATAATGCTTTAATAAAGGGATACTATCGAGCTGCTAAAATATCCTTTACTTTTTCCCCCCCAAAAGACATATTGCCTGCTTAATCCTCCTTATGGGACTCCTGGGAGATGTCTCAGGCCACAAAAACCCGACGACGACGCTCCAGACCTCCCACGCCGGGCGATGCTGTTGAAGGAATTCCCACCCTGCAATGTCTTTAACACCGCCCCTATGCTGCTTGTCGTCATTCCCACTAGCACCCACCTCGCGGGCCCAGCAGCACCACAGGGTCCCTGATTTTGGGGAAGAGACTAGTGTGAAGAGATTCCTGCACCCATACACTGCTGAGGAATTATATTTTCAAATGCTCTAAAAAGAGTTTAAAGTCTCAGTAAGGGAACAAGTAGTTTTCTCCTTGATGGGAAGAATGAGAAAGGTAAAAGATGAGACTAAGTACAAACCCAGTTTTATGTCTTACATTTATTGCAGAATGGTCCAGGCACTAAACTAGGGCTGAGTTTCATTGTGCCAGTCCCTACACAAACACAGAGTAGAAGACGGACTGTGAACCTTAACGTATGTAAGAGAAACCATAACTTTATGGTTTGGGCTTGTTCTTAGTTGCACGTTTGGAAAAATCCAATCTAGATGTGCATGCATAGGGATAACGCTCTGCAAAAGCTAGTGAAGATGCCTTCATTGGGAGCAGCAAAAGTGTCTGAAGGACCAGAAAGGGATCCAGAGAACTGGGAACAGAGTCTGAAAGAAAGGGGAAGGTGTCTGCGAAATAGGCTGGAAAGATCATGGGCAGCTCCAAAGGAAAGGAGAGCAGTTTTGGCTCAGTATTTAGGAAAACAAAAAAAGAAAAAAAAAGAATTTAGGCAAGCCCAAGGCGCACCGGTCCATGAAATATTGATATATTAAGAGCACTCAGGATACATGTACATCATCACTCAAACATCAGTCCGGATTCTTTCATCTGGATGCAGATGTAGGCTGAGCGCCAGAGCTGCCTTGCTGCAGCCCAAACGCTCATCTGGACATCGGCAAGGCCAAATGGACATGGGCAGCCCGGTCCAGCGGCTGCTCTCTCTCCCGTGGCTTCTCCCCAGCAGAATTTGCAGCCCATCGCGGATGCAGAAAGGACGCTGGTCACGGACCTCCAGCTGCTCTTGAATACTGGGACTCCTTTGCCCTGGGTGCTCTCCAGCCACATGCAGGCAAATTATCTTTTTGCGTTTGCAATGCAGAAGCGTGCTATAAATAAAGGACTGGAATATGGATAAAGCAGCAAGAATGGCATTTAATCACAGCCTGGCATAATTTTATGAAACATGCTGGTTCTTCTCTGCTGAATCCATCGAGCGCAGAGAAATACCAACAATACTGCCTACTTATTCAGGCAAAAATCCCTCTCTAATGGTAGTTTCCAGCAACACTGCTGTCCACCACCTCGCGTTGCAACACCCCGTTCTCAGCTGCTTACAAAACTCTCTGCTGTTATTTTTCCATGTTCTGCACTAAAAAAAGAAAAACCCACAACTAAACAAAATAGCTTCACATAACTTCAGAAAAAAAGCCCAGTGTTTTTTAATTAGCATTGATTTAATTAACACTAATTCTGGTGCTTTCTAGCTTTTGCGAGCTTGACGTTTTGCTGCCTTACTTTTATTTTCATTATAAAGATCTCTGCAGACGCCACTGTCCTCCACATCACCACTGCCCGATGCTTGCCAGCGGTGCGGGGAGTGACATGACTAACGCACGACTCACTTGGTCCCTCCTCACGTTATCCTGAGCGCTCCCATGTACCATCGTCCCTCTCCCACTGCCCATCCTTCTGCACTTGCTCAGCGCTGAACAGCAATAAGACAATTCAGAGCAGCTCTAAGTACATGGTTTAAACATGAACAAAAGGGGGGGGGATTTTTAAATTTAAGTGGTCTCGACTTCCCCACTGCCTTCATCTTTGTGATATGCATTTGAGAAAAGCAACATTAAATAGAATTAAATAGAACATCAGTATCAGTCACCCACTTTACAAAGGTGTCAGTGACAGTACAAGGCACAAGGAAGCGGGAACGAGACCACAAGTTCATTTTAAATTTAAGTGGTCTCGACTTCCCCACTGCCTTCATCTTTGTGATATGCATTTCACGGTGAGAAAAGCAACATTAAATAGAATTAAATAGAACATCAGTATTTTACACCCACTTTACAAAGGTGTCAGTGACAGTACAAGGCACAAGGAAGCGGGAACGAGACCACAAGTTCAAACGTGCATGATGTAAATGTTATTTTAGAAGTACAGATTTAAATTTGCAAAGCTGCAGAGGCTCTCAGGAAGCTGGTCTCATAGCCCAGGGTCGTTGTTCATTTGGCTCAGCGCTTGGTCTCCTGCTCTGATCCTTGCCTGGTGCAGCCCCAGCGACGCCCAGCTAAGGATGTGTTTCAGCAGCTCAAACCCATCCCGCCGCAATCCCGTTCCCATGCCCCCTCCTCCTCTCCTGCCCTGTGCCAGCGCTGACACTCACCCGATGCTGCAACCGTCTGATCGGGGAGCTAAGAGTGCCAAAAGTCTAAGCCTTAAATGAGGGATTCGTTTTCAGGTGGTGGTGTTGCCTGAACCCGTTCCTTCTGCGGTCAGACAAGCCCCAGGGCAAGGGCCGGACCGTTCGAGCAGGGTCAGGACAACAGCCCTCACTCAGGCTCCCATGACACTGCACGGTAAGGTCCAGAGCAAAAAACATAAAGATAAAAAAGCTGTTTATACCATGCAGAGCTGCTGACCATTCCTTCAAATGCTTATGGCCAACGTCCATATCTTTAAGTACGCATACGCACAAAACCAACCAGAAATGCTGCAACCCAGTAAGGGAAGAAGTGCTTTTCCAGCCTCATGAAACTTAAAAGATCTGTACAAAAAAGTCTTGGGGCTTTCTGAAATCTTTCTTCAAGAAGCAAAATTGCTTTATCCTCCTAGCCTTCTTCCTGGGGGGGAAAAAAAAGTCTGAATATACAGGCTAGGCACAAAACCAAGAAAATTAACACGGACAAGTAGCAGACACTCTGCTATGGACTTGCTAGGAGATGATGGCCAAAGCGTCCTTTCCTCAGATACCATAAGGCACTTCATGGTGCAAGGTCACCCAGGGCCAACTGCTTGTCTGCCGGCAGACAGGACTATTTCAGTGCTTGCTTCTTTCATCTCCACTTTTAAAAAAAGAAATAAATTACCCTCTTGCTACCGCTACTTCAAAGAAAGGACAATGGGAAGGCAGATGTACTTCTTCCCTAAGCTGAAACACAAGGCAGAAGCCAGTTCTCAGGAACGTCTCTGACCATCAGGGATGCACAAAGAGACCAGGCGGGGAGCCTGGAGCTCGAGTCCATCCTCCCTCCCCTAAGGCAGGCAACAAGACCCAACTCATCGGCCGTGGTTTCCGCTTTCTTTCTGCATTACCATGAGCTCTCTAAAATGCAATTACATAAACATGCTTTTCCTTGTTGCTTTTACCATGAGCCTCTTGGAAGTGAAAACCACTCTTAAGTCTCCCATGAAGGGGATTCTGGTGCTCAGCCACCACCCAACCTTCCCAGCAGAAGGGCTATTGTCGCCCTGAAGCTCAATCTCCGTCACGGCGATTGACGCCAAACTCTGCCTGCTCTCTTTCCCAGATCCCAAGAAACGGGATGAGCTGCAATCCCATGACAGCGAGTTATCCTTTAACGCATCCTGATCAGCTCTGCACGCTCACAGGTCGGCTCAACGACATCCCTCATCACCACCACGGGACAGCACAGCAGAAGACAAGCCATTAACAAACTTCTCGCTCTGCTGCCTCTAGTCCAAGTTTCTTCAAACAAGGCAACTGCATTAAACCTCATTCACTCCCACGTCCAGGCCAAGATTTAAAGAGAGCAGCTTTGTTAATCAAGCATCTGGGGAAAAAAAAAAACCAAACCCAAAACCACATTCTAATTGGTAAAAAAGCACTTTCCCCATCCCGCTTCTCCCCCTCACGCTTCTCCCCCTCATGCACACACAAGCTGGGCTCGCACAATCAAAAAACCTAGGGGGAAAAGAAGCAAATAAAGCTCAGCCTTGGACAGGGGAGAGCAACATCAAAGCGAGATGAGTGGCAGGGTGGGACGGGTGGAAGTCCCCAGTTCGACATCTGAAACATCTTGAAGTCAATTCATGGCGCCATACCTTGTTTCATGAAAAAACCAGCCCAAAAAAGTAGAGGAGTATGAGTTTGAACAAGTTTTGTGGGTGTGGGTTTTTTTTTTTTTAATTCTGATGAATAAGAACCTCATTTTTCCACAACAAAAGCTCTTTCTGTGGTCTGAGAACCACATAAAATGGAACCAAATTCAAACCCAGAGCAAAGCTGTCTTTTTGAGGCTGCATCTAAAAACATCACCACTGCGTATTTCACTGCTCAGCCCTCCTAAGCAGCAGTGTATTTACCACGACTGTACAGCCCCTGAGCAAAAAATATCTGTTGTTTTTACTGCCATCCAGCCATGGGACTTTGTGTTTTTCCTTTTCAGATGACTATGGAAAGCTGCTTCACTGCTAGACGTTGCTGGTTGCCTTTCCATCATCCAGGTCAGTTCCTGCTTCCCGGGTTTAGTCTCCTGACTAGAAGCCATCAGAATTTTTTTAACTAAAGACTGGTATTTGTTTTCATAGAGCTGCATGCAAAACAAAAGCAAAAAACCCCCAAATCCTAATCATTCGGAAATTTAGGGGCAAATTAAATCAGATCCAACTGTTGCACCTCAACTGCAACTCAAGACGCTTGCGTGAACATAACCGCAAAACTGAACTCACAGAACAGATGAGGAATTTGCTCTCCAGTCCCGATTCAAACACTTTCCTGCAAATACCAAGTTTCTACAGGATAAGTAGGAAATCAATAGCCAAAATACAACAGACTGTTTTGCAGACTGACCACAGACAAGAAGCCTTCAAAAAAGGCTTCTTCGGCTCTAGCGAACTAAAAAAAAAATTGGTTCCCCCAGTGGGGCTACGAGGACTCAACCCAGAGACCCCCTGAACACCTTTACTTTCATTTACTCACTGACATTTTACACCCCTCGCTTGCAGCCGGGCTTCACTGAGCACTGCAGCGCTTTGTGTGATGGGAGCATCATGTTCAACTGTGAATAAAAGCGATGAGAAATAAGTATATAAGAACATAACAAAATTCTTTCAGCTTAAGATACGTTCAACTCCCAAATTCTTTTCCAACACCAAATGAATCCATTGCACATTACTGGTTGCCTTTGAGCACTCCAAAGCACCAGGTAAAGCCAAATGATCGGGCAGGCACTGACCCGATCTTCTCAATTTTCTTAGAGGACCTTTTGGCTCTGCTAAGAGGAATGGAGAAGCCCCTATGAAGAAGCTAATTGAAAACCGCTGGAAGAAATAAATTCAGAAACATGTTACAGAGACATTTGCCTCGTTCTTTTCTCTTTATTATTAAAAAAAAAAAAAAATATTCAAAATCTGGTGTTAATCTAGATCAGACCAGATGCTGCCATGCCGTCTTGGGGTTTCTACAACAAAGAGATGCCCCACTGAAAACCTCGGGAAAACAAGAGGCTGACCTCAGGTGAAGCACAATATTGCAGTTTCTAGTTTTTATACTTTTCTTCTGTAACTGCTTGAAGTTCTGCCACTGCTAACAAGCGTTTACTTTCCTGGGTTATGGCCACTCTCTCTTTAAGCTCTGTTAGTTAAAGGGCTTTAGGATAAACAAAGCACCCAGTGCTCTTGTACGCAACAGAATTCTCTCAGCAAAGCGCTGCTACAACAAACTCCT